AATGGTTGTGCTAACCTAAGCTCAATTCAACCAATTGTGAAAGGATCAGAGATTCATGAAAGTTAAAATTAAAAGTGCAAAAAAAATCTAGCTATTAAAAAGTTTAATTCCAAGAGGTGTATATAGTTTCAAATTGTTGTTACATTCTCTCACTAAGTTATCCAAAAGTATAGTCAAAACTATTTGGTAAACTAAAACTGTAAAAAACATTGTTAATGTAGAAGAGAAATATTGGAGAACTTTCTTGTTTAGCATGAGTAATATTCCAGAGAACTGTTTGGAACTGATTTATTTAAAAAAATGTTTGGTTATTTCACTTAGGATGTTTAACAATGACGTCTAGTGTGTTGTGCAAAGAGGCAGCAGCAGTTTATAACAGGTTAAGTTTAGTTGGATTAATATTATGCACCACCTTTACAATAAACCTATATCAAGCGAGTTAAGAGTGAAGTGTTTAAAAATATATGCAGTCTTTTTTGTTAATGTTATATTAATTCTGATACAATATCTTACCACCAGTCACAAAAAAGCTTTTTTGACTTATACTGCCTTCTATTGGCACAAATTTTCACTCGACACTAGCCTTGTTACTCCCACTTATTACTGCATACTAACATGCAAATGATTATGCAGCAACCCACCACCAATACGAATACGACATTACCGCTATTGTAACTAGCACTGATTAGACGTGTTTGTCGTTCGCTGTTTAATTAACCTATCCAAACATTTTTACTTTTCTGAATTTCTTCTTCCATTAATTTATCTATGTTTTTGTTCTGTTTCTTGGAGAGTTGCAATTTATTTTATATTCTCTTGTCCTTTAATTTGGGGAGTTATGCACTCACAGTTTTGGACAGTAATGACTATGACTGCCCTTACTGCGGAAGTGGGATTTGCAACCACATCTAATGGATCTACACCATTATTCTCAGGCCAAGAAGTGACAACTCTGGTCCATTGGGAGTTGACCACTTTCATGCAACAATCAGAACACACTGATGATTATCCTAATAAGGTTTTCAGTGCCCCTTTTGGATCTGGACAGCCCCCCCACCTAGACTTGCCCAGACCTTTTTCTCCTTTGGTAGATTTGTTATTCAGGTATGTTATGTTCTATACTCATCTCCCGTTTCCTGTGTTCCACCCTTGTCCTTCTCGAATGTTCCAATCCCACCATCTTTGTCAGGTCTGGGCTCTCCAAGGGTATGTGACACCTACTGCTCCTTTCTGTGGGTATCAAACCATTGAAACCCACAGAATACCACTGTGGTATTGTGCATACTCAGAAGGACAGGCCTCTATGGTCCACCATCCCAGTAATTAGAAACTGGTAAGTGGCAAGGACTCCCATACTTCACTAGAAGAGGGAAGGAAATAATGCATTGGAGAGTCTGGAGGACTGCAGCACCAGAGACAGCGTAGTGGGTGACCACAATACCCTATACTGAAAAGCAGAGCGATCACACTGAAGGAGTGCATCACCCAAAACCTGGCAGTGTCTGGAATAGTACATCAGATCCGCTGTAGGGTGAACATTAAACACTTTCAAGGTGAATTGGTTTGGTTAGTTATGATTCAAATTGTGCATAATTAGAGAGGGTGCTAGTTACGATAGGGGTAGTGTTCCACACTTATTGGTGAAGGTTTCTGCATGTTAGTATGCAGTAATAAGTGGGAGTAACAAGGCTAGTGGTGAGTGAAAATTTGTGCCAATAGGGGGCAGTACAAGTTGGTAAAACTTTTTTTGAGAGGTTATATATCAGAAATACATTTACAGTTTAGGAATATGTTGACCTTCTATCTTTGGTATTAGAGGTAAAAGTTTGATAACTGCATGATTACATATTGCTTTTCATAATTAACATAAAAGGGTTTTTATTATTTTAACTAATACTTAATATTCTTGAGTTACAGATTTTGACTTGTTGAGCTCTCTATTGGTGAACCCTTCCCTGGCATGTGTTGGAAGTTGGCCCATTTTTGTAACACGCTTCACTAAGTTATGTCTTAAGGAAAGTTAGGCTATCTTTTCTCTTTTGGCAAGCAGAGAACTGAAGCAATTTACCCTGCAGTTGCTTTAAAGTGGTGGGCCATATCCCATGTCTATAACAAAAATATGGGGAGACTGGCAGCACCTCTTAAGTGTTACTATTTCAGTCTTAATTGCAATTATTGAAGTACATTCAGATATACCTACAGTGTTGGTTTTGGCTAACTTGGCATTGTGTTTTTTCATCTATTTCTCTTTGTAATTTTGATCGTATAGCCCCTTGTGGTTCAAGAAGCTAGACTATGTAATTGAACGTTACAGAATAGTTATTTACATGTATTTTTCACATAAATAAAAAAGTGTTAAGAATATAAAAATAATAGTGTTATTAATCTGTACCCTAATTTTGATTTGTAAATTGCTTAAATATAATTGATAGTGACTAAAATTCATTTACTAAATTAAGTTCAATCCATAATGGGTATTGTTTGTGAATTTGATGATGTAAGTAGCACCCTGACCACTACTATGTCTGTATCCAATCCAGCCTGATGAGCCCTGGTATTGGGTGAAAGGCCTTGTCAGCATTGGATATGGCAGATATAGTGTGGTATACGTATTGTTATATATAGTATTCTTTGCTTTCACTCATAACTGTTTAGAAATTGTATGTGGATGAATGCAACTGAGAATTGCATGCTCTGTTGGCACTAAAGTGGACAAAGCCTTTTATCGCAGTGAAAAAAGATTAGACTGCATGTTTATGAGAGATTAGCAGTAGTATATAGAAAATATTATTATTGTTATTCAAAACTAGATTGTTAATATGTGTATTATAAATATATAGTGTTGGTATATTGATTAATTAGATTAAGCTGTATTACATCTTACAGCCATCTAGTGTTTTCAGCAGTTTTGAGGAAGAACCAATAGGAGCAGCTTCACTTGCTCAGGTTCATAAAGCAGTGTTGAAGGATGGCAGAAAGGTTGCCGTTAAAGTTCAGCATATACCAGTAAGGGCACATTCTGTTGTTGATATGGCAACAATGGAGGTTAGTTTCATTTGGCATAAACCTGTTTTTTTAAAGTTACATAACTTATAAAATTCTGAAAAACTGTCACATGTGATTCTTATTGTTAATTCATTTAACTGATTGAAAAACAAGAGTTCAATATTAAGAAGGATGATATGTGCTTCATGTGAGCTTATACTGACCTAAAGTAAAATCTTTCACTTCTCTTATAATGTTTCTTCGTAAGTAGATCCTGTTGTTCATAAGATTTCTAGGAATTCTCAAGTGTGAACAATCTCTTTTTGTCCCACATAAGATTGTAAAAACAAACTTCCTTTTATGTATTTTTTATTTTAAATCTGTTTGATTTTCAGTTATGTTACTGAAATGCTAGCAACTTGTAATGAATGTTTGATAGATATATGTATCTAGTACTCCTAAAAAGATTTTGTAGTTGAAGGTGATGCATTATTTTCTTGTAGTGGGTAGTGATTTTGTGAGGTGGACCTATTGCAGGAATAATTTCAAACCTAAGCCTTCACTGCATCAAAGACATCTTCTTTACAGTGGTTGTGGTTGAACTATGTAGTGAGCAAGTTATTTCTGAGAATGGGAAAATCTTGTTTATATCTGTGGTAGTACCATGAGTTTTTATTTCTAGTGGTTGTACTATAAAAGTTATACACACATGTAGTTGTGAAAAGTAATAGTGATAAAATCTAATTATAAAAATATCTAACTTTGAATTTGAAAGTTCTAATGACATCAGATCTAAATTTTGTATTGGCAGAGAAAATTAAAACATGGTAAAGATAAACAGAAAAAGATATGTATTTACGATCCCCGCTTGTTTAGTGATGACATTGGACCTCAACGATCACGCTATAACAGGGCTACACTGTATCTGCTTTTCTTTTACATATTAGTTACACTTATTACTTCCCTTCAGGCAACAGACCTGTGGTATATTTGAACATTTATGTTTGTTTTTTTGTCCTATCAGATCTTTTGTAGATAGTTAAGCTTACTGTTAAATAATTTTTTCTCTCCAAGTTAGTGCCAAATCAGGGTTCAAGAAAATCACTGTTCAAACTGACCCAGTGTTGACCAAACATCGTAAAACACCTCTATTTTCACCCTATTTGACTAGTTTTTTACACATTCCCTTTCTGGCAAGTAAATTTCCTCTGAATTAATGAATTTTGCGAATGAATCATTGTTGTTACAGTAGAAATTAAAACAAAATATTTTTAGTAGGTTTTTTAATAAACAAAACAAATAAAAACATTCAAGAATATCAGCAATCATCATTTGCAATTTATTTCTTAAAAAACTGATCGAGTGTTCCATGCTTGAATGTAGCATGTCTCTGGCTGCAAACGAAATCTAGAATGCTTCATTTTTATATGGTCCACCTCCTGAGTCTCCAGCCAACAGAGGGTAGCCTCGAGGTGTTCAATGGCTTCAGATTCTTTTGGTGGTGGTGATGGAGGCTCTTCATTATCCTCTTCTTGTGGCTTGAGAACTGGTACACTAGCCTCCGTTGGTGCTATAGTTATGTTACAGATGATCCCGACATCTGTCAAGTGCTCATATGTTGGGCATTCGTCATCAGCAGAGTGCCACCGGTGTAGCTCTTCTTTGCTCCATTCGGACAGCTTCTTTGCTTCACGCACATCTTTCTCTGTGAAGCTGTACAAAACTGTCTTGTCATCATCATCTTCCGTGGTGGATTGCCGTGATGAAAAGGCTAGCCTCAGACCCTTCTCCCAGCATTTCTCTACACACGATGAGCTGACTGCTGCCCAGACCTTCCCACCTAAGTGGCAAACTTCCATCATGTTCAGGCTTTTCAGATAGGCTTCAAGCGTTGTTGAAGGATTTAGTGAAAAAAAAACGTTTGAAATGCATTTAGGAGGTTTTAGG